GTCTCCGTATAAAGTTTTTGGCGGTGAACTGAAGCTCGCTACCATTTCAAATTCAGTTCAAGTCAATTCAACAACTGTTTATTGAAGTCCTACTTTGCTGAAGACTGAGGTAGAAACATGAATATAAGATCCAAGCTCGTGACTTCAAGGACAGAAGCTGGTATTTGAATGGAGTACAGTTAGGCTTATTATATCCTCAAAACTAATCATCTATATTAATGGGGTTAGAAGCAGGCATGAATTATCACTGCTTACCTTTCTCCATTCCTTCAACCCATCCGTGAGTAGTAAGTGCCTTCCCATGTGAGCCCCATGGAAAATGTGTAAGCAACTCCCAAAGACTAAGCAGATGTGCACAATGATTAGTATTGCAATCAAATAAATCTTACAACCAAGTTGATCTGGCACACATCTGATGATATGCATAATCACTATCATGCAGCCTGGTAATTAAGGATAATTGGTAAATAATTCATGTAAATTACTGTAATTGATACAGCCTTGCAGTTAAGCCAAGCATTTCTCGGGTCAGCTGAGTGGACTGAGAAGAAGCTCCCCAAATGAAACGCCCCAGATCTGCTCACACAGAGGACCTCCAGCCTTTTCTTGCCCCATGGGACCTCCCATCCCATTGTCTTATGCTTCCCAGGAAACCCCAGCTAACAACTGAACCCACCCCAAGGGCTTCCCAGCTCTGATGCTTCCTAGGGTTACAGGCACTGTAGGGTGTGAAGTTTTCCCTCACTTACAGATCCAAATACGCTCAAAGAGGTTGGCTCAGACCTCGGGCTTTGGACTACAAGCCTACAAAGAAGCTGAAGAAAGAGGATGAATCCTCCCCTCAGCAGTGAAGCTGTCTAAGGGCTGAGACTTTCCTCCACTACTCCCTCTTAAAGTCTGACGTACTTCGTGGAACATCAAGAAAATGATTTCTGCCAAAATCTCTCCCTGAAGTTCTCATGAGTGAAACACAAAGACTAGCACCCCTGGTGTGCCAAGGGGGGCCTCAGTTTTTGCACCTAAGGTGTATGCTTACTTGCCTTGGTTTCCCTTACTGGCCAAGGGTAGAGCAGCAGTGGGAACTCGATGGGTTCCCTCTTATGAATGATAAGACAGAAATCATTCTGGAGAGAAGAAATGTGGCAGGGAACATGACGCAGGACAAAGGCCTTGGGTCACGGGGAACCCTAGCAGCAGAGAAGCCAAGAGCCTATAAGGTAGTAAAGGACCTAAAACACACAAGCCCTCAAACAGGATATCCTGTAATGCATTGTAGCTTCTGTCTTGACCGTACAGCCTGAGCTTGTCTCCCTTTCCCATTCACTATACAAGGAAAGTCATCTGAGCACCGTGCTTGCTAAGTAAGGAGGGGCCTCAGCAACCCGGCTGCAGCAGGGCCAAGGTGAGTGCAAGGCCAAAGGCCTGTCCATGTGCTCATCTGCAAATCTGTGTTACCATCCCAGGCTTGGGAAATGTCTCCACGTGGCAACACCCATGTCCATGGACAAGGCTCCAGGGGTAGACTTCAGGTAGCCAGTGCCTCTGGGCTCACACTGTTGCTCAGGCCACAGAATGTGTCTGTGTCTTTGCTGTCCAACAGAACAGTACCATGGCCTTGAAGCCTGTGGAAAGCTTAGGGAGAGGATGGCTTCTCTTGAGATGTTGGAAAGCACAGCCTGAGACCATTAGAAAGACAGCAGGAGCTGAGGGCAAGGGAAAGCTCCAGTGAGCTGAGCTATAGGGGACAGAAAGGAGTGTTGTTCCTCTGTGTGAGGACACCAGAACCCATTCCTATGACCTCGTAGGCTTGGACAGCAATAGGTTCACACAGAGCTACTGAACATTGCCTATTGTGCGTTCTCCAGAACACCTGCTCGTCCTCTCTCTCTCTGGGAACTGTTAATACGTCTGGTGATCAAATAAACATGGGAATCCAAATAAATGTGGTGAAGTAATCTCTGGTGAAGTAAAATTAAACTTATAGGATGACTATAATTAATAAAAGTTTATTGTGTATTTCAAAATTGCTAACAGTAGGGCTGGGGATTTAACTCAGTGGCAAAGCACCTGCCTGGCAAGCATGAGGTCATGAGTTTGATTCCTGGTACCAGAAGGAAAAAAAAAAATTGCTAACAGTAGATTTAAAATGTGATCAACACAAAAGTATATGTGACTAAGCATGGTGGCTCACACCTGTAATCCCAGCACTCAGGAGGCTGAGGCAGGAGGATCATTGCCAGTTTAAGACCTGCCTAGGCTACAGAGTGAACTCAAGACCAGCCTGAACTGCATAGTGAGACCCTGTCTCAAAAGGACAAAAAAATATATATATGTGTATGAACTGACACATATGCTAATTAGCATGGTTTAATTATTCTGCATTATTATACCTATATCAAAATATCACAATGTAAACCCACAAATATACTCACAATTATAAAGTATCAATTAAAATTTAAAATAATGTTTTAAAATGTGATGATCTTCAACCAATCGAAAATGCTGGAGGGGCTATGGTGAAAAAGGAACCCTTCTCCACTGCTGGTGGGAGTGCAGACCGGTGCAACCACTGTGGAAATCAGTATGGAGATTCTTCAAAAACCTAGATTAAAGGTCCCACTTGGCCCAGCTATTCCCCTTCTGGGTATCTTCCTAAAGAATTTAAAACATCATACCACAGTGATATATGTGCACCAATGTTTACAGCAGCCCAATTTGTAATAGCTAAATCCTGTAAACAACCCAAATGCCCATCACCTGAGCAATGCAGAAAAAAAGATGTGGTATTTTTATACAATGGAGTAATACTCAACCACAAAGAAGGATACACTTGAGACTTTTATAGGTAAATGGATACAATTTGAGACCACATTGATTAGTGAAATAAATCAGACTCACATGTGTAAACATCATATTGTCTCCCTGAAAGAGTAAATAAGGTCTAAAAGGTACGATAGGTATTGTGAAACAGGAAGAAATTGTTAAAAAGGAAAAAGGAACTAAGATGGGGAAAAGAGGAAAGGAAGGAAGGGAAAAGAAAAAAATGCAAGTTAGTTATACTATTAGTGTTTCTTAATTCATAGAAAAGGAAGGTTTGTGCTAATATCAATTGGACATTTTTATGCCCGTATCTTGTACTCCGAGTAACTAGTTTAACGATAATAATGTACAGTGTATTAACTATTGTTATTCTCCTGTCAACTTGTTATGAAATTTTGTTTTACCTTTTTTCCATAAAATAGATTTTTTTAAAAAATGTGATGATCTTCATAAGGCATTGAACAGGGGATATGGTCCATAGCTAGGACAGGCAGTGGTGGTGGCAGTACCAATGGTCGCACATACAAACAAAGGGGAGATGGATTTTCTGTTGTAGCAAACTCCCTGAGGGAGCCAGTTACAGTTTGGATGTGTTAGCGTGGCAGTGTGATTATAGTTGGAGAAAGAGAAGCAAGGGATATCTGGGCTGGCAGATCCAGGCCCTCACTACAGAAGGAAGAGGATCTAATTAAATTTCTCTTTTCCAAGAAGCATTTCAGGGTGTTAGACTATCATACTAATGATTTCAGATATTATCACTCATGTTTCAGAAATAAATCTTCCTTTGGGCACACAGAAACTGCAAATAGAAAAGACAGTCTAATGGGATGAATGCTTACTTTTTCAAATGACATCTCAAGCCTGCCTGAGATCTGACAGCATAAACACTTCTGACCCAATGGCTACACAGCTGATACTTCTGCAAATTAATTTCTTGCTCTCTGGAGATCTCTCAAAAGAACAGCAATATTTTTACACTTTCCCAGATTCAAATGAAAATAACCCTTCTATGATGATAGGGCTGCTCAGTACAAGCATTATTTTTAATGGGCATGTTCCCCATTTTTCACTTCCACTCAGTTCCCCCAGCAGCTTTACTCAAAGTAACAGGCCACCGTTCCCTCCTCATTTCCATGCAGGGCACCCATCTGGAATGGAGTGGTGAAGAAAGATATTGCTGTTTAAGAAATCTCCCTCCCACACGAGGTATGTGAAATGCAGAATTGGTATTTTTAGCTTTAAATCTCTTTATCAGGACTCTCTCATTATCTAAGTCATCTGTTCTGAAAAACGTACAGCCACATCAATAGTTTTATGGCTTCCTTGGATCTCGAGATAAGTTTAAAACCCATAAATTTCCTTCTGTGAATATGTCTCCTCGAAGTTGACAGCCTCTGGGTCATCCTTGGGAATCATCTAAAAAGCAATTGAAATTGTAACTCTTTTCTTTGTGCAGAATTTCAGCTACAATGCTGGGTTTGATTTTAATCTTGTCTATTACTTGTTCCCTGGAACAGTGGCTAGTTCACTGAAAATCAAACATTTGAGAAGATATTAGGTGATCACTTCACAAAAGCCTGTAGGATATTTTCGTCAAGGTCTGTCCTGCCCATACTTCTGCCACCTACAAAACAGAAAATCAGAGCAAGATCTTGGACCTCTCTGCTTCTTTTCTTCATCTGAAAAATGGGGATGTGAAAGGACTCACCTTTTTTCACCATAAAGAACTGGTAACTGTTGGAGGAGATAGGTATGTTTACCCACATTTGAACGTTAAACAATATGTACATGTATTAAAATATCACATGGCACCCCATAAAAAGGATAGTTTTTTTGCATCAGCTAAAAAAATTTTTGAAAGGGTCACTACAAGGAACTATTATGACGCTTAAAAAAGTGGTAAGTACAGAACTCAGAAGAGTGCCCAGCACACAGTAGCACTCAAACTTTAACTGTAGTGCCATTAATGTTAATAGCATTGATTATAGTTATAATAATATTAGTGTTATTATTCCTTAATACATGTAACCAGTCCTGTTCTTCTATGGATGTGTGGAAAGTACTCTGTTCTTACACAAATGTTTCCTAATAATCATTAATTACGTGGACTATTAATTCTACCACTTAGTTGACTCTGCCTGAAAAATGCCAGTGCCTCAAATAAATTCCCCCACCTTTACCTGTTCACCTCTTGGTTTCCATCAACAAGAGCTTTCATGTGTGTGGGGTGAATGCTAAAAGCACACACCTCATGATGAGAACACAGCTTTGCAATCACACAGCACAGGCCTCAGAGACAGGGTTCTACTTTTCACTCATTGCCTTCAGGATCTATTTCCTGACAATACACAATAAACATAGCAGGGTTACCTATGTTTATTACTAATGCAACATAGCAATGCATGCAATGTCTACATCTCTACAACATTTCTTTCATGTAGAGATTGTCTGGTGGTTGGCTCAGTACAACAGAAACAAAGCTCTGTAAAATTGATCAATTTATCCTACCTTGAGAATAAGAAAATAACTCAATAAGGGAGGGAGGGTTACATCTAATGTGTTCACATCATGTATTTTATATAATAAATTACATTTGAAATTCTATATTATTCCAATATATAAACATGTAATTACAGACATTATAGTATACCTAATATATAAATATACACATACATGGTATGCATAAAAACAAACATTTGTTGCCTGTGCAGCCAGCAGTGGGAGGATGATTAGATAAATGATCATGCATCAACATGACAGAGCATTATGGTGCAATTGTAAAAATAGCTATGATGGTGCAGCAGCACACAGTTAAGTGGAAAAAACAAGACACAAAATTGTACCTACTTCATTATTACACTACCATTATGGCGTGTATCTAGGTGTCCCCCCAAAGTCTCTTATGGTCATAGGTGGAGCTTTTCAGAGGTGGCTGAGTCTAGGGTGTGAGCTGCTGGAATCAAGGATGCAATGCTCAGCTTGATTCCCAGTGCTAGGATTAAGGGTGTGAGCACTACCCACCTAAAGGTGGGTAGCCTGGATAAAATACAAGGGTCAGAAAGAGGGCTGTTGTTGCTTGGTGCTTATCACTTGTGGCTTGTTGCTTGCCTTGCTGCCTTCCCCTTTTTATGTGCCATGAATGGTTTCTCCTCCACAATGCCCCTCTGCCAAGCCACTCTGCCTTGGGACCAGCCAACTATGAACTGAAACCTCTTCAAACTGTGAGCTAAATAAACTTTTAACTTTGGGTGTTGAGTATTTTGTCCCAGTAATGAGAAGAGTAACTAAGACAATTGTTTGTCCAAGGAAAAAGTAGGAGACCTAAATGTCATTAATAAGGCAATCATCAAATACATTGTGATATATACATGCTAGCAAAATTATGCAGCACCATTAAAAAGAATGAGGAAGATGTATATGTACTGATAGGTGAAGGTCTCTAAGACATATTGCTAAGAGAAAAATGTAAGTCCCAGGTCAATATGCAAAGTTACATGCCATTAAATGCAACAGAGAGTGTGTGTATATGTGCATGTGTGAATATATGTGAAAGTATAGAGTCAAAAATCTGAAGAGTTATGTCTAACTGTTAATAAGGATTCCATCTGGGGAAGAAAAAAGCATGAGGCAGCAAAGGAAGACCAATCTCCATTCTATTTCCTTCTTTATCATTGGAATTATTTGGTTTTATATTTTAGTAATTTTGAACTCTATTTTATTATCACATCTACTTTTGTTAGGACACACACAGATGGGAGAAAAGGCAATTTATGTTGCAAAGTGGGAGACTATCAACAATTTTTTTCTGTATTCTTATTCATGTCCTTTACAGTCACCATATTTTTAGATGGAAAAATCAATCAAACTATGTGAGATGATAATGGCTGCTGGTTGTTACTTGCCTGCTTTAATGGATGCTACAGGTACACACTTCAGATCTCCTTGCATCCAGTGCTCCCACCCTCCACTGTTAGTGTCACCAGATGAGTCAGTTAGAGTTCACCAAAGGAACAGATATAATATACACAAGTGGTGGTGAATCTGTGGCATGCACGTTACTATGCTTTTCTTTTAAGAAAAAACATGTTAATGTATGAGTTGTTTTCTCTAAACTAAAACCTCAGTTTTTGGGTTTAATTGCAGCGTTGGCACTTTGCAATAAATAAGTGAGTTTTGGGTTGCAGTTTGGGCACTCAGTCTCCAAAAGGTTTGCCATCAGTCTTATATACAATGTGTAAAGGATTTCACAAAATAGGCTCACAGTGGCCACCTGTAGAGTCAGGTGTAGAAGAATACAAAATGGCCATCTGCTTGCTGGAGATTCAGAAGATCCAGTCCAAAGTGAAAGATCTGGAGCTCAGAGTCCAGTGTGAGCCCATGTTGGAAAGCCAAAGGGTTTCCACTGGAAGGCTGAAGGGTCTGTGCTAGATGCCTAAAGCAACTGGAGACCACATCCAAAGACAATGGTGAAGGCCAGAGCTCCTCCATAAAAGCAAAAGAGCAGAGGACTTCTTTCCCTTTTTAGTTCATCCAGGCTACAAGCCTATTGGTTGGTTCTACCCACAAGTGGGATGGTCTTTGCCCTCAGTTTGCTTCTTACATGTCAGTCATCCACACACATTCCCGGAACATGCTGCACGGAGCACACTAAGCATTTCTCAATCTGTTCAAGTCGACATCACAATGAATTATCACAACAAACAACTCTCAACTGCCCCCTTTCCCAGGGAGTTGCCTCACTATTTCCACCCTGCCTTAGAAGCAGCCCTCAGCCATGAATTGACTAACTCAGGGATACTAAGGCTGACCTCAGGGAGAACCAATTCTGTAATTTATGTCAAGCACTCCCTGAGGATTAGGCCAAAGTTAATGTATATGGAGACCACCTCATTACTTAACTTCTTTTCCTATGCATTAGTCAGAGTTCTCTGGACAAATAGAACAAACAAGAGAATATACTGTATTGAGGTGGGGAGAGAAATTGTTTACTATAAGGAATTGGCTCATATAAATTACAAGGCTAAAAAAATCCCAACATTTGTAGTTGGAAAGCTGGAGACCCCGGACAGGTGAGGTTGTGACTCGACTTAACCCAAAAGGCCTTAGGGAGGCAGTGAAGTCAGTTCCAATCCAAGCTCAGGTCAAAGGGCAGGGAAAACTTATGACCCAGTGGGCAGAGAGTGAACATACTGTTCAAGCATTCAAGGGATAGGATGAGGTACCCCAGTGAGGAGGGCCACCTGCTTTTCTCAGTTTACTGAAACAAATGTTAACCTCACCAGCCTCACCCTCACAGTGTCACCCGGAATAATGCTTAGCCAAATGTCTGGGTAGCTTTCTCTCGTGTGTCCTTTTCCCGAGGACATTCCCTCAACGAATCACATAAACAAGGGTCCCACTAGGGAACATAATAAGTCATTTACTATGCGTCAAAAGCATTAAGCTTCCACGTTATTTTTTAATCCTCCTGGCATAAAGCAGACCCACATTTTGGGAAACAATCAACCGTAACAATTAAAAGAATGGAGTTTGAAATGAGATGCACCTTACCTCATGACCTGGATTCAAAATATATATGTCAGATGGGTGACCTTGGGCCTCTCTCAAGCGCAGTTTCCTCAACCAGAAAACGGGGCTCATTGCGGGGGCTCTGATGCTAAACTGATCTGTTGTGAGGACTCCACTGGCTTCTCAGTAAGTATCTGTCACGTGACTAGAAGAAGACAACAGATGTAATTGATAGGTTCCTGCACAGGCATGAATTGCTGAATATTATGGTGGTGGCGGTCTAACATGGCTGAAACTCAAAACAACGGCTTATATTCCCAATGCCCACGCACGCCTTTTCTCCTCTCCTCAGCCCACAGTACAACTTCCTCTTGCCGTGCTTGCGTGCAAAGAAACCCCCAATCAGCTCCTGACACGTCACTAAGCCCGCCATTAAGCTCCGCCCCTAGCCAGAGTCTTTATAAATCCCCCTCCCCCCACCCAGCTCCCTTGTCCAGCCCCAGAGGAGTCCGGTATCGCACGCTGCCATCTGCTCTTCATGTCCGGAGTAAAGGCTTTCTCTCTTATCTTTGTTTGGTTCATTTCTGTACCAGAAACCTAACAGTAATATTCATATATCAGTACCAGGTATGGAGTAAAAGCTCAACAAAGATTGTCTAAGTAAAGCCAGACGTGGGAGCGCCTGGAATCCCTGTACTTCAGAGACTGAAGCAGGAGAATGGCCATGAGTTCAAAGCCAGCCTAAACTAGATAGTCTCAAAAAACAACACTAAAGGGAAAAGACAAGATATTCAGGTGTCAGCGAGAGCCTGATCTCTATCATCTCACCAACCCAGACGTAAAAACCCAGCCCCCTCGCACTTGTACGCCACACACAACACCTGTCACAAACCTCAGTGAGTTTTCCGGACTGTGTCAAAAATTGGGCCGGGAGCAAGGAAAGACAATTAGACTGCCTGAGAACGTGAAAAATGAAAAAGTCCACGCCTCACAGCAGCAACTTTGCTCATTTAGAGAGCAGCACGGTTTTTAAAATGTCCTCTGCCCCCCTAGCACCACCGCCACCTTGCATTTCACTGGCCCCACTGTCTTTGTGCTCCTTCCTCATTTTCTCTTCTTGCCTCTTTTTTGTCACGCCGGTCTTCTTCCTCTTCTAAGAACAATGGAGTTCTCCCAGTACAAGTGACCCTCCAGCTCCAGCTCCCAGATTTCTGCAACCAACTCCCAGGCACTAAACAGGAAAGAGGACATCCCATCCTCTGACAAGATGCTTTCACTAAAGCCCTGCAGTTTTTGCTTCCATAATATTTTATGTACAGTTCCCAAGGAGGAGAATGTTTGCCTTCATTGTACATACGATGAAACTGAGATGAAGAGAAGTTAGATAACAAGCCTAGGTCAAAAGGAAGAGCTAGAATTTGAACCCAGGCCTGCTTAATTTCACAGCCAGTGTTCTCAAATGCTGTATTACCCTGAAAAATTCCCCAGAGGCCATTTGGCAACATTCAAGTCTGTGGCAACAATCTGTACCATAACCTCAGCCAGCTGTCCCTCAGAGATATGCCAGTGCTTTCAAGGGGCCTGGGTAAAACAGCATGAATTATTCAGCACGATTTCTCAGTCCCATTACAGAAACAATGCAACAAACACAAGGCCCCATCTTCTATGAAGAGGTGATTTTCTATTCACTGGAGATGCCATATTGTTTTGATTTTATTTCTTCAGGCAAGTTGTTTGTGCCTACCAGCTCTTAGACTGTCTTCCACTTGGACTGAGAGAATGGAATAACTCAGTGCATAATGGAATACAGTTCAATGAGTATTTGATGATTAACTAAATGAATGACAATGTTTCAGTGGTATGCAGCAGATGGTGGATAGTGGGAGGTGTAGAGGCCACAGAGTGGGTAGATATCTATTGTTGAAGGAATTTCAATCTCAATTTCATTTGAGCCCAAAGAAGGTGAATGCAGTCTTCATTGTTTAATAATGGTCCCACAGATCCAGACCCATGCCCATTTTACCACCCATTTTGAGAACTAATTTATCTGAAAGGACAAAGTATTTGCTTTTGTGGCTTTTGTTTTCTCTTTTTTTCAAAGGAATTCCTTAGTCATTGAGTTATTTCAGGGCCTAGCAAAAAAAGGAAAGAATTTTCAAATGACAGTGAGCTAACAGTTTCAGTAGCATTGATCTAAGACCAGTGGCTTTGAAAACATCAAGAAAGAAACACTCATACCTTGGCAAAATAAGATCAAGGGCTGACATCAATCCTTCCACACATCAGTGTTATGCTCCATCACTACTATCCTAGAAGCGTTTGCAAAGGGAGAAATGTTCAATGGCAAAATGTTAAATTTTGAAACTCCAGAGTAAAGATTAGTGACCTCCTTTAAGGTCATTGCTCCCCGAAGTGTCTTCATAGCCCCATGAAATCCCCTCCCTTGGTGAATTTCCTGAAAATTATGAGAATCTTGTAGCCAGTCAATGACTTAAAAGAATTTTCCCATGACATTCAGCCTATTTTCAACTCAAAGATGCCACAAATTAGTTGGGTAGCTTTGAATAAGTCACTAAATGGCTGCAAGTCTCAGGTCCTCCTGGATAAAATAACATTGGCATCTATGCTCTCTAAAGCTCTATCTTAATCTATTTAGATTGCTACAAAAGTGCCATAAACTGGATAATCCATATACAAGAGAAATTCATTTCCAACAGCTCTAGAAGCCAGGAAGTGTGAAATGAAGCACTAGTAGGTTCAGTGTCTGGCAAGGGCCTTACTCATGGTTCATGAATGGCACCTTCTTGTGATATAAGAAAGCTATTGGGTGATACAGGGAAATATAACTCCCAACCTGTTAGATGTCTGATATGCTGAGTTCATGTTCCCCAAAATCAATAAATGAATTCTAAGGATGATAGAGGTTAAAAGCAGGAAGTATTTATTGAGGGAAAGAAAGCTTCTGTCTAAGAAAGACAAAAGGTGACCTGGAAAGTGGGTTGCCCTCTGGAATCAGGAGGTGGGTACAAGGTGGGACAAAACTATGATCAAACAAAAGATTACAAGTATAGTCACTTAGGTAATATTAATCCACTGAAAAATCATGCGATGGGTATTAGGTGGGACAAAATTAAGATCAACTGATAAGATTACACGTATAATCCCTTAGGTAAAATTGATCCAAACAGGAAGCAAGTGTGAATGGAGAAAACAAGGACCGTTCCTGGAAGGGATAGGTGAAGGTCCTGGTCCCTCACCCAGGTGACTGATGCCTATTTAGAATATCAATCATTATTGTTTATCCCTCAGGAAGTATGTAGGTGTAGTCATTCTGTCTTTGTACTGAGGCCTGGCATTCAACAACTGCACCTTCACTTACAGTTGTAATCTGCACTGACTCCTTCGAGGGCCTAGTCCTGTATCTCTACCTAACTTCACTGTCTAAATATTTACTGTATCCCCACGTGAAGGAAGGGACACATGAAGCCCCTCCAGCCCATTTTTAAGGACACTACTATGACTTGAATGTCTCTTCCAATATATGTTGGAAATTTAATTCCCAGTACAACAAAATTGGAAAGCAGGGCCTAGCAAGAGAGGATTATATCACAAGAACCCTACCTTCATGAGTAGATAATATGATTAGCATGAGATTTAGTTATCACAAGAGTGGGTTTGTTATAAAATCAAGGTCTGCCCCTTCTTGATTTCTTTCCCTTGTCTTCTCTTTCCCTTCTGCCTTCTGCCATGGGATAACCCAACAGGACAGCCCTCATGAGATGCCAGCACGTTGATATTGAACTTCTCAGCCTCCAGAACTGTGGAAAATAAACTTCTTTCCTTTATAAATTACCCAAGCTGTGGTATTGTGTTACAGCAACACAAAACAGATTAGGACAGGCACCAATTCCATTCATGACCTAATCATCTCCTAAAGGCCTTGCTTCTTATTACTACTGCATTAGGGATCAGTTTCAGCCGAGGAATGGGGGGGACACATTCAGTCCATAGCAACTTCCTAGTACTGATATATCATAAGCCAATCAAAACTCAAAGAGAAGAAAATAGCAAACTATAACCCCTATGACTGGCATAACATTTAGAGGCTCATTTCTCACAAGTTAGAAATGGTGGTTGGGGACCACCATATCTCTATCTCTAGATTCTCCCTCCCTCCTAAGCTGGACAACTGGAGTTCTGTTCAGGGAGGAGGTACAGAGGCTTCCATCTAGGTGCTGTGCATGCAGAGGGGCAGCTTATTCGCTCAAAGGAATTTTTCTAGCTGTCTTTGAAAAGAAACACAACAGTTACATTTGAAATGCTCCTTTGGATACAAGCCTATTTGGTAAGACAATGGAAAACAGAGATACAAGAGGGTCTATGATTCCATCTTCATTTCTCTCACAACCAAAACAAAGCCAATTCCAAAAATAAAAGAACTCCCACTTACAAAGATCTGTGGGAGAAATCACTGTCATACTCTAAGGACATTTATTAGTGAACAGCCCTCAGAACATGCTGAGAATCTGATTCAGAAGACAGATCCTTAATTTCAAAGGCTTATCTGATGTGCGTCAGACCTAAATACTTGGTCTCCAGTTTAAGACTCATTTTAACCCTGGCACCACAGATAAACCTGAGAACACACAGGAGAAGTCCAAAAACTGAGCACAGCCTGACACAGCCATGGTCTGCGGAGGTGGAGGAGGGAGGAGACCAAAAGGGGAGGCAGAAGGTGGCCACTCTCACCACTCACATTTTTCTGTGTGGATCCAAAGCAAGGGGAGCTCAAAAGTCTTTTCCAAGATATCAGGAAGGGCCTCCTTAGGAGGGAACATTTAAGCTAAAGCCAAACTGATAAGGGGTCTTGGCCTGGGAAGAATAGGAACAGCACATTCCAGTCAAAAGGAACAATATGTACCAAGAAGCCTGGAATGTTTAAAAAATGGAGCGAACAAGATGGCTGAAAAGCTGTGGGGTACAGCAGCTCTGAGATGAGCTTGGGGAAGTGTGCAGGTGTCAGATCAAATGAGACCCTTGGCTTGCTTATTCTGGGCTCTTCCAAATCAGAACATGAGCAAGGACTTGAACACAAGTTGCTTATTTTGAAAAAGCACAAGAAAAGAGCATGAAAGTGAGACAGGGAAGGAAGGGAGGCGATGCAGAGTGTGTTAGCCAGCTGCTTACCACTGTGGGGGACGGAGGTTTAATCCCACAGGGGGTCTCTGGAGACTGTATCTGATGTGGGCATTCTACCACTTGAGGTTCAAGATAATTAAGGTATTTATCCACCATTTATCTGTCCAGCACTGATTGAAACTTCCTCCTGGCCCA